TCCAATTTGATCAGCCAACCGTCCAAATCTATCCACGTGTCACCATCTTAGTAAAGGAATGTGATAAAACGTTATAGCCAGAAAACACGCCTTTGTTAATATGATTGCTTGGCAGCACACCATTCCACCAAGGTTCGAGTCCCACAAAAATATTAATTAAAATAAAATATTTGATTTTTGAAAATTAAAACATGAAATTTGATTTTAGAATTTGGATTTCCAAAAGTAACGAGTTGGATAATTTGCACTATTGGCTTTCAGGCTTTCAAGCCCGTCTTTATTGTTTTAGGCCCCTGGGAGGTCTACATCAAGTTCCCCTTTCTAAGGCGTAAGCTTTATTTGCTTTTTTCAAATTTAAGACAACGCCACGTCAGTATGTTTCTTTCCTTTTTTATCAAAAAAAAAAAGAGCAAGTTTGTATTTGAAAAAAAATCAAGTTAAAGTACCTTGGAGCTTATTTATAAACATTAACTCTAACGTAGAAAATATCTTATATTTAGAGTCTCTCTTGAAAATACTATAAAATGATTCTATAAATGTTTACTAACTCATAAAGTAGACATTTTACGAACGAGATGAGATAGTTAGATTGTTACAAATCTAAATTTAAATATTAAAGCAAATTACATAAACCTCTCATCTATTTTAAAAATTTCTGAAATTTCCACCAAAATGGATACGTGATGCTAAGCCCCCTATTTGATGGCAATTATTTAATCAAAACAATGTTTTGAATAGTAATTTTCAGGAGAATGTATGATTCAGTAGAAAAAAAATTTGAGTTTACAACTTTACGTTGAAAATATTTTATTGTGCGGATGTATGATTGAATACATGTAGATTTTTTTTTTTTTTCAAATAATGGTCGTCGAGCATGGGCTAAGTAGCATTACCAATTTATCATTTAAATAAACTAAAAAAAAAGTGTCTTTTTATCCTATTAACGTTCAAATTGTAGAGCCCGCCACTACCTCCCACATTTTAATCATTCGAAATCTCACTTTTTTTTGCACTAAGCTTTTCCCATAAATAACTGTTCTTTTTGTCAGCAAATTGACAAATTCTTCCTACGGAATTTTGTTCAAACCGACAGATTCTTCAAAAATTGACCTCTCGACGGTTGTGGGAACATCACTCTTTTTCATTCTCTATCAAAATCAGCTACTCACATTCAAATCCAAATGCCTCTATCCCTTCACACCATTCAAAACTCACTTTTCTGCACTTGCTCCCCACTTATTCAACACTCCCTACAGGCTTTTCTGTTAAATTTTCTTATTTTCTCAATAATTGGGATTCAAACAACTCACTCAATTCATCAAGTAGATGAGGCCCTCGTCTTTCTTTTCGTCCTCCTCTTCCTCTTCTTCCTCTTCTGTCACAACTGCCACAGCTACGTCGCCCTCCGTCAATGGCAAGGCTTACAATTCCAAGAATGGCAGTCCAGGGTGTCTCACGGGGGTATTACGCCGGCTTCTTTGCCTTAATAGTCTTCCGACATACCCTCGCGATCATTTCAAAGAAGAGGAAAAACAGCCTTTAGTCAGTGATAAGTTGCAGTGTGTGGAAGCAGCAAGCTACCTCGACGACTTCAACACACCAGGAGTAGTGGCCAGGCTAATGGGATTAGAATCAAGGCCTCATATTATGGAGAAAAGTCTCAATTCAACTGGGCGAAGTCAGTCGATGAATGCCATACAATCATTGACAAAATTGAAGTCAATACAAGGGAGGCATAAACATGGAAAGAGCTTGCGAGAAATTTCTAGCTATAAAGAGCTAGAAGATGAGAGTTTTTTCATCATTAGCTTTGAGAGTGCAGGTGAAATTTGGCAAGGAATGAAATCAGACATGAATTCTGGTCAGAAGAAGCAAACAAAGAAAGCTATTTGCAAGAACAGCAGTAGAGAGAAACAGAACAAAGAAAATCAAGATGCAAACAAAGTTTCAAAGGGGCAAAAGCAAGGTAACTCGATCGATTCTGAGAAGATTTACAGCAATTATAAGGTTAGCGAGCCAATTGATGTACTTACAAATTCCTGTCAAAAGTCATATCTTGTTTTCGAGTTAGTGGACTCTAATCACAAAGGAAGGGGAAGAACAAGAAGAAAGAAAGTTAAATCCGAGGTAACCAAATTGGAGACAGGTTGTGATTCAAAAGATTCAAGCCCGAATTCTGTTCTTGATTTTGCAGAATTCCCATCTGAACCTGACCCAGACGACCGTGATTCAGGTTAGATTCCTTAATACTTGCAATGTATACAATTCAATCTTTACTCGAATTTAACTTTTGATTAATTCTATAGTAGGGGTTTCGATGTCAGCAAATTTAAAATTCCAGAGGACATTAGCAGAGGATCTTGAGAATCACAGAAAGGCAGAGAAAAGAAGGTTGATCAGAGATGATTATGATCCTAAAAGTAAAGAGAAGTGGGATGAAGTTTGCCAACTTGTTGAAAGGGAGACGTTACAATCCAATTGGATATTCAAAGGGACATTAAAGGAGGCTGATGATTTCCAAGAGATTGGAGGATATTTGGGTCTACAAATTTTTGATCAACTGTTGGCTGAGTTACTCAACAACTTACAGGAAATTCCTAGGAAAAAATTTGACCTACAGCCTTAACATTCATGTCTTCGATTTTTTATGAATTTAACATATAGTCCCGACATTTTTCTCTTTAGTTTTCTGGCAAATAGTTAACCTGTACATTATTCCAATGAAAAGCAAAAGGAAACACATCTTTAGTTTTTAACATTTCTTTTTTTTTCATGACAGTTGTATGTTTGCGTTCCTTTGGAACATTACATTCCTTTAAGAAACGACTTTTCTATACAAAACCATGCTGTCAAAATTTTAAGAGAGCGCTTTAGAAGGATTAGCTACAAAAACTAGAGCCATGTATAATATTATTAGAAATAATCTAATTACACACTATTAACTGTGGGGATTACTTATCAGTAGAAGGGTTCAAGCTGCCAACAAGACTAAATTTACACCAATAAAAGATGCATACCTAATCAAATATCAGTTCAGAATTATTCTTTTTGGAAGGCACACTCCAGAAAACTGCTCTTCCACGACAAGGCCTTTGCAAGCTACTAATTTCATTACAGAGTCAGCAGTAACATGACACCTCAGATGGGCTTCCATTAAACTCGAACAAAGAACTTGTTCAATCCAATCCTCAATGGCATTCACCCTGTCTGTTAACCAAGCAGCCGCAAGTATTTGAACCATCACTTCTCGATCAATTTCAAGGAAAATATCAGGTCCAACAACTTTCTGAAATCCAAGGCTGATCATGTTCAAAACTTTCTGGGCCAGAGAATCAAAATCAAATGGTTTGAAAACCACATTTTCATCAACATGGCCTAGCAATTCTTCCAACCACACATCATATTTGGATTCAGCATCACATTTATCAATATCACTGTCCTGTTCCATCTCCTCTATTGGCAAATTTAAATCAAGAATGGATCTTGACTTTTCACACTTTCGTTTTTGCATCCCAGTCTTGGTAGACTGATTATCAACCAACTTCCTTTTATTTACAGAGCATGGGATAGCGGTTTCTTTACTTGAAGTAACTAAAACATTTGCAGTTTTGTTTCTACTGTATATTCCACTAGTAGACCCAACTAAAATTTGCATTTGAAAATTTTTGGCCTCTGATACCGTTTCTTCTGAAAATTCATAGGATGCTTCTCCAGAAAAAAGACCGTCGTGTGCCTTTAGGAAGCTTGATGTAAGGACAAAGACTGTGTTGTTGATCCCAATTTCCCTTCCGCACGAATCTCGAAATTTACCAATTCTGATAGCTTGAGACAAACTATTCTGAACCAAGTAATCAGCCCTTTCTATATTTTCAAGGAGTACAACAGAATGGGTTTGCTTGCTTAACTCCTCAGCAATGTAATCAACAACCATCTTCCTCCCAAACTTCAAATCATAGCATTTTGAATCCTGGCGATGAAATATAGAGTTACCAGCTCTAATCTCAAATTGAGAGGCCAGGTCCACAGAAAGCAAATGTTCCTTTCCGCCAAATATCGTCACAGCAAGTGCTGCAGCAATTTTTCTCTTACCCACCTTATCAGGTCCCAGAAAGCTGAGCCAAACATTTCTCTTGTCTGAGCCATGACTGGTCCCATTTCCAGTTCTGCAACGTGACACAGTTTGACTAATAGTTCGAATAGCTTCAATCTGCCAGTATACATTTTCAGCAAGAACTTTCCATGGGTACTCAAGGTCTTTTCCATTGATTAGCTTTTCCCATTGACCATAAGAGCAAGACGATGATTGGGCAACTTGATGGGAGGCATTCTCGCTAGTTCTAGATGATCCAGAGAAGTCCTGAGTGCAGTTGTAATGCTCTTGAGGGTTTCTACGTTCCTCCTCAGCACACTCATAAATCGTTCCCAGTCCCAAATCTGTGATCACAGGTGTAACAGAGGGTGACAATGTACAATCTATAGGCAAACTCAAATTATGCTGAGCAGAGGAGGGGTTCTGTAGGACTTCTGTCTCTGGCTGTTGAATCTTCCAACATTGCACTGGTAGTTCAGCCTTTGCATTGGCATTAATGTCTGATGCAACAGGTTTGAGCTTATTTTGCAAGTCCAACGAAATGCAAGGACTAATATTGATGATTCTGTCCTTGTCCAATAATAAATCTGCACGAGTGCTTTCCCTCAAAACAGAAACAACCTGAGAAGGCTGATCAACGGGAAATTTTGACCTTTGTGGTATATCTTCTTGAAATGATCGAGTGCAATGAACACGTTGGCATATGTCACTCCATTTTCTCTGCAGTCCCATAATTTGGGCATCCAATACAGTTTTGTCATCTTTTGCCTGCACTGAAATGACAGAATACATGTTTACAATATATCTAATACTTATCCAACAGTTTAAACTTTTAGATAAAGTGGTTCAACATTATATTAGGCAGAGATCCTAAGTTCAAATCTCACCACCACCCATTTAATGAAAATGTACACATGTTAGACTTTGATGGAAAAAAATGAACCCCACCTACACTTGAGGGAGCATGTTGAAGACATTATTTAAATTATATACACATGACCTTATCTAACAGCTTAAGCTTTTAGATCAAGTAGTTTAACAAAAAAATATTTCACCAACTACTCATAGGCATTGTTTTAAGTAGTCTGAACAACTTTGTTTAGCTTGTTCAGGGAAGTTAGGATTTAAAGTAGTGATAAACCTCCACAGAAACCGAACTCTTGCTCATGCGTTCAGCTATTTGCAGCCAAGAAGATACATTTTCTGATTGCTGACCTACAATAGAATAAGTGGGTCCTCCCTTCAGAACAGAAACTTCTTGCTCATACTTTTCCTTGCACAAGTTACAGAGAGTTGAGGATTGAGTTGTGCATAGAGGTTCATACTCAGATGGCATAGGAAAGAATCCACCAAATGGAACAAATGACCCCATCAAGCTGTAATTATATCATGAGCAAGCAACCGTGAGTTCAAATTGCAAAAATATCAGAAGCCAAAATGTACAATCGATGGCTTAGGTCAAATAAAAATATTTTGGATGACCAACAATCAAGTTAATGATGCATACATCCAAGTTAATGATGTATACATCTAATATACGGGAATGTTGTGGCAGCTGGAAATGGATGAACTCTTTGTGTCTTGAGTAACGAAACACGGTAAAAAATAAGGAAATTAACAAAACATACTCATAGTGTAATTACGCATTGCATACAGTGTTTTAGAAAATCAAAGCTTGCATATTATCGTTTTAAAAGTGTTAACAAAGAACATATTCCTACAAGTCTCTGTCAAAATAAGTTGGAAAAATTTATAAAACACAACCTGAATATAAGGTGAAATCAAAGTTTAGCCTACATTTGGAAAGAAATTTATAAATGGTTCTATAAATTCAGTTAAAGTCAAACATTAATTTCACCACACATTCATAATTACTAATCATTATTATCCTCACATTTTATGGGACCCACTAGTATTCCTCATTATAAATCATTTATAGATTTTCCAAACGGAGGCTTAGATACAATAGTTTTGGAAATTAAGCTAGCATACTACTGTTTCATTAGCAATAATAAAATTTTAGACTTTGTTAAGCATTCGTTGAAAAAAGGGAAGAAAACTTGTGGCTACAAAAAGGAAACTTAAAATGCAAAACAAGCATGCAAAACAAAAAAATATTTATACATAAGGTGCAATAAATACAATTCTATATTCAATTGTTTTGTAGGTTTTTTATGCATTTTCATTACAAATAAGTAATGAAACAAAAATCGAATCCTACTATAGATATGATCTTTCATACTTCCATTCTTCACCCTTCCACAAATGAGCAGCTAGCTCAAACCTTAAAATGTTAATCTACGGGACCGTTTGACATGATTTTTGCTTTTGCTTCTTGTAGAAGAGCTTTTGGAGGAAGCTACTTAAATTTTTTATTGAAAACTAATTTTTAAAAAAACTTCATATTTCATGAGTGCTTTTAGAGGAAGCCACTATGGACCAACTTCTTCTAAAAACACTTGTAACTATCAGAAGCACTTTCATAAAATTGGCCAAATGGATCAAAAAGCAACTTAAGGGTCTCAAAAGCTCCTTTTGACTTTTCTGAAGTCTATGCTAAACGAGCCCTAAATTTTTTGGTTAAGATTCAAGAGAAGAATAACAAATTTTTCCCATATTTCACTTCTCTTTTTTGTTGACATTGAATTTATGTGAAAGTCACTGCCAGAACTTCTCATTCCCCTCAAATTCACTGCCAAGAAAAAGGAAAAGTGAAATACAGAAAAATTTAATGGAAGTCTCAATTTCAAACCTCTTAATCTAATGGTCTGTACTACCAACTTAAGATCTGAGCACCACAGGGTTGTGCTAGCCTTGCTCCAAAGAAAAGGAACAAAGACACGAAGACACACATGCCCATATGACCTCTTCCCAATCACATAAGCAACTCGAACAAAAATTGATCCTTCATCCCATTAGATGTGCAGTGTTGGCATCCATTGTTCCACATTAATTATTTTCAGAATAAGTTATAAAAAGAGCAATACTTTGTCTCATTTAAACATTAAGGGCTTGTTTGTTTCCACTAGAAATCATAGTTCTGACCGTTGCAGCCGCCGTATTTAAAAATGCAGCACTAGGACATTATTTTAAAATAGATCAAAGGAACAAAGTACAAATTCACAGCTCACCTGGACTTGGAGCTCACACCTTCAAACGAAGAAGGTTTGCAAGAAGTAATAGGCAGCAGATGCAAATCCCAGTCTGTCTGAATAGAAGAAAACCGCTCTAAAAGTTTCTTATAACTATTATCATCCGCCACAGCCCCAATCAACCATAATTTCCCACCAGAGCTATTCAACAATATTTTCAATTCTGAAACCATATAATTCACAGCATCCATTGATTCAACATCCACAAATACCCTCAAATCTCCGTAGTTCAGAACTATCCCGGGTCCTTCACATTTTGCCAACATGTCTCTCAGTTCATTAAACTTCAGCCTCATCATATCTTCACTCAAACCTCCATTAATAAACTCAGAAATGTCTTTTTCAATAGAAATCACAATCAAACCATAAATTTCTTTGGGCAAGACTTCATTTTTACCCCTCTGCAAAGATTCTATAAAATTTTTAAGTGCAGCAGTAGCATATACCCCAATCAACAATGGATTTCTCAACCTTTCCTTTACAAGAATCTCCCCTACTCTTCTTGAATTCTCATCAACGTTTTCTACAACCCCGGGAAACGGAAATTTAAAGCCACTTTTATTGAATTCTAAATCACTAAAGTTCCCCGAGAAAAGAGGCGGGCACTGGGTTCTGGAGAATCTTGAAATGGTAGGAGGATTTAGAATGGACAACTTTACATCGGTGCTCCAATAACCCGCTTCACCAAAGACCCGGTTCACGATCGGGTCATCCAAAATTGAAACCACAAAATGCTTCAGTTCAACTTTCACAGTAGAAATCGACGGCTGACATGAGTTCTGAGAATTCATCTGCTGATACAAATGAAAAGTTTCGGGGTTCCGGCGTTGATTAGCTTGGGATCTCTTAATCGCAGCCATTAGCGAGTTCGAAATCGGCGGCTCATCGGATTCTTCTCTAGAAGACGGGAGACGATCAAGCGAGACGCCGACACTTAGCTCGAGAGCTCGAAACTGTAGGCGTGGAGAGTACGCGCTGCGTCTGGCGCGTGAACAGGCCTCCCGGAGAATCGAGTTAGGGAGGGCAAATACGGCAGAGAGGACATGTAAAGAGGTGGTCTGCGAGTGGCTCCGCCGCTTCGCAACTGCTACCGCATCGTTCAGTGCACGCGCTGCTTCATCCGTTAGGCACTGCCGAGCAATGCTCACCGGCGTTGGCATCGCCGACAAGTGTAAGTAATAAATATCTAAGTTCGCGTGAATATATTACTATATTAGTGACATAACAATACTAGAAAATAATTGTGTTTTTGTACTTATTATGCTGAAGCAATTAAACATTTTAAATACGTAAGTAAAGAATCTGAAGAAGACTTATTAAAAGTTACTTTTCTACTTTTTAAAATAAATAATTTATTAGTGATCCCTCGAGTAGTTAATATTGTCGTCTTTGAAAATATTGAGAATCGAATCATCTCGCCTTTTTCAATTTTTGTCACTCATTTTAATTATAGAGAATATTGAATAATCTTTGGTAGCGATAGGCAAATTATCTGCCTAACCGATCCAAACCATCAAATCAAACCAAATCAAGTTGGTTTGATTTTCGATTTGGCTGGAACCAGCTTGAAAACCTTAGTTTTGAGGGGGTCGGAGTTACAAAAAAATGTTTTTCAAGGGAAAGATTTTCATCGACTCCAAAAATTCGAATTGACCCAGACCGACTTAAATCGATTTATTCATATTATCTGATTTATTTTCAGGTTGAAATTTCGTTTAACTCGAACTGTAGGTTCGATTGTCCGATTGGGTTGGAACTTGACTCGTGTCCATCTCTAATCTTGAATTATTAAGCATGGAGAATATCCAATTATTATTATTATTTTTTAACTATTTTGTAGTTTACACTTCTGCCTTTTCTTGACATCATTACTCCAACATTATCTCCAATTTTCTACTTTTAAACACCCTTCATTCTTGTTTATTACTCTTCAACATCATCAATCTAGTTTACTAAACATGTTAGTAATGTGAACTAATGTTAATCAACGAAATTGCGCACTATGCATTTATTGAGCGAGATTGATTAACGGACAGTAGAAGAAATTGAATTGCAGTATCCACATGACAATCGAGTGGACGAAAAAAGTGGGATGAAACTTGGGTTAGAGCCAAATTTTTTAGTCTAAACGAAGCTTTTCAAAGGGTCACATCGAGTACTATTTTAAAGATTTGCATTGTAAAGTTTTATTCTATAGTTAAAATTTTAATTTTAAAAATTTTCTTGAAAATATATTTCAAAATATTGTCGTTCAATATCGAGTAGAGACAGATGATGAGAGGGGCCAACTTCAGTTTCTCCTCTTCACAAAGAGGCATAAAGTTGTGAAATTTGACATCTCAATTTATTTGGTCCGTTTATTGTTGTCTTTATCTCATTGCATTATTGAGTATGGAATTTCCTCTTCCACCCAACGTCACGTCAGGGCATAGTATTTTTTAAAGTTGTAGCTTTAAGACCAGAGGGAAATTTGGTAAGTCTTTCAAAGATTTGATCTATTTAACCGTCAACTACAAGTCATCGCTTTTAATCTTTCTTTCTTTCACAAGCAAAATGGATGACCAAAAAATTCAGAGTAATATTGGAGCTTGTTTGTGAGAGATTTTTTCTTATCTTTTTAGAAAAGAAAAATGACTTTTTTGTATTTTTTGAGAATATTTAGTTAAAAGTAGGAAAAAATTATTGATATCATAGAACAGAACGTGTAGTTGAGTATTTTTTTTTGGAGAATAATAATTTTTAAAAACAATCTCTTCCAAACAAGCTCAGTGGACTGTTTTTTCTACAAAAAGAGGTCCTTATGGTAGGTGAAAAACAAACGGTAAAGTTTTAATAGCATTAGGTTCTTAAAGCTCAACCATTGAATTCGATCACGCTTCGTCACCATCTACAAATATCTTCATTACACCCATCGAACAAGTGATTTACAGTGACGTTAATACCTTTCAAATGATAACTAAAAGAGAACAAGTGTCACATATGATGTCAACACCTCACCACCCATCAATCAGAAAAGAGTTGGTAAAGTTTTAATAAAATTAGGTTCTTAAAGCTCATCCATCGAATAAGATCACGCTTCGTCGTCATCTACAAATATCATCATTACACCCATCGAATAAGTGATTTCCAGTGACGTTAACACCTCCCAGATGATCACTATAAGAGAACAAGTGTTACATATGATGTCAGCACCTCGCTACCCATCAATCAGAAGAGAGTAATAATTGTCTAAACAACAGACAATCATGACCTATGTCACAAGTCACAACCAAGTCCTGAGTGAGAAATTATGGTATGACCATCTGAGCTCAACATTGAATCAAATATCTTCAAACATGACGATGAAACACAAATCAAGGCCAGTGCTGTAATTTGTGACAAAGGCGCTCCCCGACCAGGGACCGAGCTAAGCCACTCTTATGTAATACACTACAAAAAACACTTCTGTGCATTCCTTATTCCAAATGCTTCCATTTGCAATTTTTCTCAAAATCTCTACTAACATTATTAGTAACTCAAAAAGTTATTTCAACCATCCATTCAAATCAAAATTTTCAATCACACACAAAATTATTATTTATTATTATCCACATATTTCGTGATCCCATCACAATATTCCTCCCAAAAAGTACTCATAATCAATCCTAAACAGAGCCTAAATTCTCACTTCAATTTTTCCAATTCCCCCATAGAACGAATTGAGCTTTCCTATCCAATATCATTTTTTTCCATTAGCATCTTTGTCAAAAATAGGTTTTAATTGCTTGACCTATGAAAATTTCTACCAATTCTTCGTTCATCAAAGTTCATCCTAGTCTCCATCGACGTCGAGTAATTAAAAAATTTAAACAAACTTTTAAAGTTAATAAATATTATTGAATTAATGAAATTAAGAAAATAATTAACCCCACTCTAGGTAGTATCATATGGTGTTGTGCATCACAATTCCAATTTCATCACCTGGTTATTTATATATAAACACAAGTTCAATCCAGGTCTTGGACAAAGAAACCACTAAACATTAAGGGTTTATAAATGGTTTAAATTATAAGTAGATGAAAATGAGTGAAGAATTAGTGAGCAATCTTTGTGAGTCCCTCAAAATGTGTGGATAGAAAGTGAATTAACTGTTTATAAACATGAACGAAACATAGTTGACGACGATTCAGCATTTTGAGCCTTTGATGGGTTGATCCTCAACATCACTCTGAACATTTCTTGTTTAAACTACTACAATACTTGCAAGTTTTCCTGCCACTATTTACACCGGAAACAGTTGACATCAACAGCAGAAAGACAAACAGCCACGAAGAACAGTTAAATCCTTGTCATGCACTTACCTGAGTATAAATTGGAAAATCATCTGAATTTGATATGAAATGGAAGTAGGGGCTATTCATCATCCGAGCCTAACCACAAGTGTCGAGTTGCACGCCAATCCAAATGAATCTTTGATGAAAAATCGGCTCTCTGAGTTTCCTTTCTTTTCTTAGGAACAGTTTCCTTCCTTTTGTTAGGAATCAATCCAGTTGCTTCATCCAAATGAATATCGGATGAATGAGAATGAAAATTGGCTCCCCCAGATTCCTTTCTTTTGTTAGGAATCGATCCAGTTGCTTCATCCAAATGAATATCGGATGAATGAGAATGAAAATTGGCTCCCCCAGATTCCTTTCTTTTGTTAGGAATCGATCCAGTTGCTTCATCCAAATGAATATCGGATGAATGAGAATGAAAATTGGCTCCCCCAGATTCTCTTCTTTTGTTAGGAATCGATCCAGTTGCTTCATCCAAATGAATATCGGATGAATGAGAATGAAAATTGGCTCCCCCAGTTTCCTTACTTTTGTTAGGAATCGATCCAGTTGCTTCATCCAAATGAATTGCTGATGAATGAGAATGAATATTGGCCTCCCCAGTTTCCTTTATTTTGCTAGGAATCGATCCAGTTACTTCATCCAAATGAATCTTAAATGAATGGGACTGAAAATTGGTTCCGCAAATTTGGTAGACAATGGCTATCCCCAGAACCAACAGGAGCAGTAAATAAGCCAGTATGGATGATTTATACATCTGCAAGTCACTTTCAATGTCAGCAAAATCGCAAACAAATTGGACTATTTCTCTCTCCATACATGGGTCCTCAAATTTTTTTCACAGTAACTCTTGATAATTTCATTAATCAAGAGATCATGAATGATGAGCTCTGAGTGTTACGTGACAAACAATTGAGACAGAAACAATAAAAGCAACAGTAGGATGTACAAGTATTTCCTCAAATTAAGGGAAGAAAGACCATATTTTCATAGGTTATAATTTATAAATAACAATAAAACGGAAAGATTCTATACTACTTAGAGAATCAAATTCTACGGAAAGTATACTACATAATCTGAGGAATACCATACGAACTACGAAGATTATGGAACTATTTTAGGGAATTGATACTCTTCCCTAGGAACTTGTGTCTCATAGTTTTGAAGGATCCAAGTTCATCTAAAGAAGCCAGTCAACTAACAAATTGACTAAAAAGATATGTAAGGGACATGATTTTGGAAGTCCGATACAGAAGATCCACAAAATTTCATGTCACTGAAATACAGGTTTACACCCTGTTTGATCCACATTCTTAAAAAAATGCATTCTTTCAATACTCATTTTCAACCACACAATCTTCAATAAAATAATATTACACGCAAATCCAAAACTTTTCCTTATTTTTTAACCACATATTTTCCATCACATCACTATTTAAAATGCATTCTTTCCTTAAGAATGTCCATCAAATAAGGGCTTAAGTTCAAAGTCTGGAAATAAGTCAGAAGAACTGTACAAACACACTAGAAAAATGCAGCTTCTGAAGAATGGATTTTACTATGTTGTCTAAGCAAGTCTAGGAAAGCCAACCGAACCTTGCTCATGAACCGAACTTTGCCAGGAAGGTTTCTGTCTGCATGCTCAAGGCTATAGCGTAGCATGTCAACTACAGTCAACGCAACGGTTGAATCATTGCTTTCTGCAACCACCAGAAAGCTTAACTAGTAAGAGTCAAGAATCATGTCTAAAATATTATTTTGCTGTTACAGAATCATTATGGAATTTATAGGACTTACCTGGGATGTCAAAAATTTGTCTTGTTGGAGGAACACCCAGCAACTTTCCCAAATGGACACGCACTCTCACACGATCACAAAGTGACATTAAATCCCCGTGTGTGACTACTATAACAGGCTTGTCATCTGAGACAGAAAAAGATAAAACACATCAACAATGAAAACTCAGAAAAAGAAAAGAAACAGGATATAACAATAGCAGCCATGGATCTATCTCCCAACAGATGAAGCAACAAGGAACGGTGACTATGATATGATGCATCACCTAGACAGCAATTTTTGATGCATCATGCATGCCTCGGGTGAACAAAATGTGCACTAGTAAGATGTAAAAAAGAAACAATCGCAACAAAAGTTTCAATCAATGTGTCGCATACTTCTCACCCCGCTAGAGAGAGTGAGAGAGTTGTGTAAACCTACCTCTGAATGACAATAATGGATTGTTGAAAGTTGTAGCAACCATATCAGTGTATGATTTCGTTGTCTCATCATCACCATCCATTGATTCTAATATGGAAAGCCCATTCACAACATATATGACAAAGTTAATCTTCCTGACCTTAGAGGGATCACACCTACTCTTTTGTGCCTTGTGCTTCAATTGGCTTTTTAAACTTGAACAATCAGACTTTCTGACAAAAAAATATATGACAACATTAACTCCAGGTTCGCCAGATTGAAAGACTAAATTAGATAGTATGATGCAATATATATTGACCTTTTGACAAGTTCTCCACAACAAACACCCTTCGTCATCCAAAGCTTGATTATTTTCAGGTTGTCCAAAGAATCATTGGACAAACTGCGAGTGTCATATAGACAAAAGAAACCTGAACCTCTTGGGATCAAGTACTCCTGGAGGAAATAGGTCCCATCTCCAGTAGATATATTATCTGTTCAAATAAAAATGACAGCTAAAATGAAGCTGTAGTTGGATAAGTTCCACACCCAATCATGTATTGCAACCAAAAATCCACACAAACCAGATGATAGATGACCTTATCTTTGGTGATATACAAATTAATAAAAAGGAGAAAAAGTGACAATGCATACATGATACTTGTGCTCTATCTGTTGCAAATTCGTCATCCTCAAGCACCCTAGAAATTTTGTTCACAAGGCTACTCTTTCCAGAACCCTTTGGACCAATCAATAAGAGTGTCGTAGTCTTTGGGACATCATAGTCACTCAAGTCTATACCAGCAACCTTTTCAATCCATAAACCGGGAGTATAGCTGTGAGAAATAGACCAATGAATAAGTTCATGGAAGCTTATCCACAACTCTAAAAGCATAAACATATGGATAAAGTGCTTTAAGAACTGCTGCTGTGAATCTTCTTCTGCTCTTTATCGGAAGCATTTTTGTACAAGTGAAAAAGGGCAAGGACATGGTTATGTAGTAGTTAGACACGTGGGAGAATAATCAGTTTGCTATTAATGTTTATGCTGTGCATTTAGATAAGGTGTTAAAGTAAGGTAATCCCTAGTTGAGATAAGAACTCTACTGCGGAGATTTGAATATATAGCCAGAGTTTGAAACTTCATATTTATATGAAATTGTACTCTTGATATATTACAAACTATCAAATTAAACTAATCACTTTAACAGATAAGGTATCAGATATTCGTATTGATGCCATTTCATTCCTAAAGTCACACAGTTAAAGGTTCTTTTACACTGCAGTCACTCCCTTTCCCATTCAGGAGTCCTGGAATCAAACAATTTTTCATTTTGACAGTAATCACTTCGTTCCCCTCTCCAAATCATCATACTTGCTGGAGGGGTTTTGGAACCAACTCTTGCTCAACAAACAACCTGTTAAGCCTTGGCTATTTCTAAAGGCCAACTAAGAGCTCAAGAAGACTTGTTACGAGGAGCTAACAAACCTGCCATGTTCACCCATTTATCAAGTTAACTATGTTCCCACCCAACCTTGATTGAAGTTAGCCTTCTTCATCTTGTTTTATTATTACTCTTTATTATTTTTTTTCTTTTTCAACGTTGACAAGTCTTTCAAATCATACCATTAGTAAACAAATGTACGGCTATGAAAAATAACAACACTGAACATAACGATGCTATAACAATATATTCAACAAACGAGAACAAAAAACCCGATCATACCTCAAGATTTTACCTTTGGCCTCCTCCAATCTCTCAGTCCTATTCCGTAATTCCTCGTAACTCCTCAAAACTTCTGCATAGACCTTGCGCCTCTGCCTCTCAGCTGCATCAAAACTCGAACAAACCAGACAATCTTCCGGGGAAAATTCTATGAAATCCCATACACTTTCTCCACTGATCACCGAACCATTCTCATCCCCGCTGAACCCATAATTAAACAGCATAAATCAACACGGAATTTCCATGAAAACCAACATGTCCTCATATAATCTCCAGAAATATTTAATAAGCAAAATCGAATACCTGAAAAGGCCGGGTTTAACTGATTCATGGGGGAATTCTTGTTCTGACGATGATTCTTCTTCTGCAATCGTAAAACCCATTTGGAAACATACAGTATTTAAGAACTATTATATATTCAACATGTTTACAACCTTATATATCTCAACTATGTATATAAGCTTATATAGATAGATTATATGTTATAGAGAGATTAAAATTTTTACAAGTACCAGTAGCAGATATAGGAGAAAAGATTCTATCGCCGCCCATTACTGCCAGTTTCTTGGTACTGGAAAACTTTCAGTGAGAGAGAGAGAGAGAGAGAGAGAGAGAGTTTGACACTGGTGAAGAAAGAGGTGAATGTTACGTGTATCCACGAAGTGCTGAACTGCAAGCTACGTGTAAAATATGCAAGGCAAGTTTGGCTAAGCTTCAAAATAACTAGTTTTTTTAAAGAATTAAATTAATCACTTATGTTTAAAAGAAAAGGAATAAAGCTCAAGTACAGGAAAATTTTGACAGAATTGATACTGACGTTGACGTAGCCAAATCTGATTGGCCTTTTTTGTTTTCCCATCTTCCAATGTTGTTATGTCAAGTGTTGTCTGTCGAAATTTTCTGTCAAAAAAATATTTACCTATTACATGATTGAATATTGTTTATTCAAAGTCAAACATATTAAAAACCAATAAATAAATAAATTATATTTTACTTCAATTTGAGCTTAGTAAATTTGAGAAAAATCTTTTATATGATTTTTTAAATTCATATTTTTGATAATATTATATATATTTGTGATAGAAACAATTTCATAGTTATATTAGATTCTCACTAAGCTTCCCCACTTTTTGCAAGCCCCATATTTGCTTTTGAATTAGCTTGCCTGCCTGTATTATTATCAACAAATTTGGTCACTTGAAAAATTATTTTAAAAAATTTAGAAACTATTAAAATTATATTTGTGCAATTTTTATGCTTTTTTCAGGAAAAAAAAAAACATAAATTTATAGCAAGCCATTTCAGAAAATGGAAAACTACTGTACATGTTTCCCACTGTTATAAATTTTTTTGTTACATCAGCATCATTCTTTTTTTTTTTTGGGAAAAAAATCCGCTTCAGCGACCTCCGAAAAAAATTTCCCATGAATAAGGATGCTTATACTTTTTTCAATCGATGGACGGATAGTTATATTGTCATCAAATTTTCATCACTTTTTAATAAAAGTTTTAAACATTGCTTCATTATCGTACTTATATTCATAACTTTTTTTTGTATTATGAACTTTCATCAATTTCATTAAATTAAAAATTTTGTTCCTGATATTGATTTCCATCCAAAAAGAACGTCAATACAGCATAAAAAGATCCAAGGGAACAATACACAAAACCTACATATAAGAATTATTTTTCAAAACTAACAAATTTGTCTAATTATTTCAAAAATCAGGTGGTAAATAGATTTATTAAATATTAAATTATAATATA